AATGCATCAGATCCCAGGTATTGTCACGTTCATGAATTTTCACAAGGTAATAAAGCAGGTCCGATCTTGATCTTGGATGCCTTATCTACTCCTTCCTAACTAGGCTGTACTTAAATGAAACATCTCTGAAAGGGAAAATAGTCACACTAAATAGCTTTCTTAAAACACTTCACCATAAAAAAAAAAAAAAACACTGTACCTCCTGCTACTTCCTACACCACACATTGATTTTTTTCCCCCTCTCTGTGTTATCATGTTTTTTAGTTTTATAACTTTTCTTGGAGGTTAAAATGGTCTCTCCACTCATGCCTTACTGACCTCATTTATAAAGGTAACTACCAAGTGCAACTCAACTCTTTTTATGCATAGGTAGGTCTTGTCTCCACATGCACAAGCCTCTCTTGTGCAGTTCATTTACACCAATATAAACTGTAGAAAGGCAGCTCCCTATTCTCCATTCTATTTGCTTTGATCCTAATCTGAACCTCCTCCCCTGGATGTATTTCCAAATAAGTGTCACGATTTCTTAATCTCCAAACCATCCTTTGAATTACTGGCAGATAAATTTTCCTGAAACCCTGTTTTGCTCATTAGCACAACTCTCCATAGTAATCTGTGTGAATCACTCCTTTTAGGACTTAAAGTCCTCAAAAAGCTGAATCCCTTTTCCTAAGACTATCTTTTTTTTTTTATTCTCCAACGGAAAACTGCTCTGCCCAGGATATTCTCACCATTCTGTCAATACCACAGCTTTTTCTTTCCTCATTGCCTTTGTTCATATTTTCCCCACAAGTAGAAAGATCTCTCTGTTTCTTCTCTGCTCACATCTCACCCATTATTTAAACCTCACATCTCCTGTAAGCAGAGAGAGTTAGAAGTCCCCAGAAGAAGCAGCTTTCTTGATGTAAAAAAAGTCATTTTGGGCTGCTGGCTATCTTGTGAAAGAATGTAAGAACTGACCTTGACTCGGACTCGGTCATCTTAAGATGACTCTTACCCCAATTCCATGCTGCATTCCCCAAATGGGCAAGTTCCTTCATAAATATGTATGTTCCCCTTAGCTTAAAATTTTCCCACGTTTGTTGTTTGGGGAGACACTGCTTTGGGAAAGATCTCTGGTATACTCCTTTACATGTTGCAACTAAAATCCTTCCTTTTCCTATTCTTTGGTGTGGTTGTGTCTTTTGGCTCTTGCATGCACCAAGAGGCAAACCCAGTTTTAAGTAACAGTCCTGGAATTTGTCCTGATTCCTTTCACTCTATAAAGCTTATCTCTCCTCTGATAGGTAGCACCAGTCAAGGAGTGGCCGTCTAGCAGTCACTTAGGATAAAATGCACATGTAATTGTTTGAGAAACTTATAGCATGACGATGATCTTTGTCTTTCGATATCAGGATGGCAATGAACCTTGCTGTACTCGCAAAGAATTCTTTTAACTCCCCAGGAAGACCAAAGGATGAACACATTTGTTATCCTGAAAAAGGAAAGAACAGAGTTGTTACAACTCATTGCTGGGGGAGAATTAAGTATGTCCTAAGTGACCTAAGTCCTGTGTAACTCCACAGCAAGAAGACTCTTGGAAACGTGTGCCTGCTGTCCCTGGACTTCACCCCATGTGCTGTTTCCCTTTGTGGATTTTGCTCTGTATCCTGTTGCAATAAATCACAACTATGAGGATAACTATACACTGTTTTGCTAGTCCTTCTAATGAATCACTGAATTTGGAGGTGGTTCTGGGGACCCTCCAATATGTAGGCCAAAGGACAGTTAGTGGAGGAATGGATAAAGAAATAGTGGCACATCCATAAGACAGAGTACCACTCAGCAATAAAGAGCCATAAACTACTGAAACATGCAGCAGATTAGATGGATCTCAATGGCATTACACTTAGAAAAGCCAAAGTCAAGGGTTGCATACTGTAGGATTCTATTACTACGACATTCATGAAGTGACAAAATTATAGTGCTGGGACATGGATCAGTAGTAGTAGATCCAGGGGAAACACGTGACTATCAAGGGGTAATGTGAGAGAGTTTCTTTATGGTAATGGAACAGTTCTACATGCTGATGGTCATGACAGTTAAGTTGAATCTATGCTTTTGATCAGATTTCACAGAACTATATACTCCTCCCTGGCCGCGCCCCCCCCCCCAAAGAGTGCCTGTAAAAAGTGGTGAAATTCCTTTTTTTCTTTTTAAAGATTTTATTTATTTATTCATGAGAGACACAGAGAGAGAGAGGCAGAGACACAGGCAGAGGGAGAAGCAGGTTTCCCCCATCACCCTGGGAGCCTGAGGCCCCCAGGATCACAGCCGGAGCTGAAGGCAGATACTTAACCACTGAGCCACCCAGGCATCCTAAAAGTGGTAAAATTCTAATAAATTCTGTATCTTGGGACACCTGGGTGACTCAGCGGTTGGGTGCCTGCCTTCAACCCAGGTTGTGATCCCGGGATCTGAGATTGAGTCCCGCATCAGGCTCCCTGCAAGGAGCCTGCTTCTCTCTCTGCCTGTGTCTCTGCTTCTCTTTCTCTCTGTGTCTCTCATGAATAAATAAATACATCAAAAAAAATTCCGTGTCTCCATACCTGAATTAATAGTGATTTAACAAAATCAATTTTCTGTTTTTGATCAACTACTCTGGTTATATACGATATGATCATTGTGGAAGCTGAGTAAAGAGTGCATGGGAACTCTCTGTACGGTTTTTACAAATTCTTGTGAGTATGAGATAATTTCAAAGTATAAACACATTAACAGAAGAGTGAGCATGTGTATATGTGCGTATGTGTGTGTGTGCAGACTGCCCAAGACTTGCCACAGGAGACATATCTTAAAGAATAAATGGCATACTTTCTCTTTGTGCTGCCAGAGAGCAGAAAGGACTCCCTTCTATTTAATACCTGCTTGTCTTTTGTCCCTTTTAAAAATTAATCACCAATTAAGTGTAGCAGAATATGCCACCCCCAAATATGTCACTTTGGCATAAGGATTATTTTGAGCTAAAGGCAATTGAGAAAATGTGGATATAAGAAAAGCTATCTGCCTTCCTACTATTTGCCTAAAACAGGAAATCCGTTTGTAGAGGTGTCCCCATCTCCCATATCTACCAAGGGACAGAAGTTAGTCATCATAGACAACTCTATACCCTTATTAGCTCAGAGGAATCTAGATAACAAACCTTGCTTAAACTAGCCCTTATCTACCATTGATTTCTTCATATATTCCCTCCCCCAACCTGCAACTCCTATAAACTTTAAGTCCTTCTGTTTGTTTTGCCAATTATTAAATTAAAATTATTATTATTATCCAATATTATGCCAATTAGAATTATTATTATTATCCTTCCATTAAGATGCTATAAGACCCAAGTTCTACCCACTGTTTTGAGTTACTCATCACTGGCTACTCCCGTTGTATACATGATGCATGTGTTAATAAACTTCTGTTTGTTTTTCTCTTGTTAATCATTCCTTTGTCAGTCTAATTTACAGGGGTCCAGAAGAAGAACCTATGAAGAAACATGAAAAAAGTTAAAAATTCCCTTCCTTACCCTCATCTTTTTCTTATTGATTTGAAGAAGCTCTGTATACATTCTGAATGCAACTCTTCAGATTTATGTATTTCATCTTCTATCAATGTGATTCAGTTGGTTAAGCATCTGCCTCCGGCTCGAGGGGTGATCTCAGGGTCCTGGGATCGAGCCCTGCATTGGGCTCTCTGCTCAGCAGGGAGTCTGCTTCTCACTTGCCCTCTGTGTGCTCTCTATCTCAACTAAATAAATAAAAAATAGAATCTTAAAAGCAAAAACATAAACTTAACATTCATCACCTAAAATAAGTATCTCGTAACTAATATATGCTCAAGAAACATTTGATGAATAAAAGCAAGAGTGTATGGGGATGCCTGGGTGGGTTGGCAGTTGAGTGTCTGCCTTTGGCTCAGGGTGTGATTCCACAGTCCTGGGATTGAGTCCCACATTGGGCTTCATGCATGGAGCCCGCTTCTCCCTCTGCCTATGTCTGTGCCTCTTTCTCTGTGTCTGTCATGAATAAATAAATTAAAATATTTTTAAAAAAGCAAGAGTGTATGAATGAAAGCAAGGGCCAAATAAAAGACAACAACTACACTTGATCTTACTGCTTTTCATATATATTCAGTTGCCCACATATATTCCCCATTCTCCAGTCATTAAAGCATAAAGTAAAGGTCTGTGAAAAAGGCAAGTCTAATTCACTTGTAATTAACCCTTTTTAAAAAATGAATTACAAGGATGCCTGGATGGCTCAGTGGTTGAGTGCCTGCCTTCGGCTCAGGGCCTCATCCCCGGATCTGGGATGGAGTCCCATATCGGGCTCTCTGCACGGAGCCTGCTTCTCCCTCTGCCTGTGTCTCTGCCTCTCTCTCTCTTTGTGTATCTCATGAATAAATAAATCTTTCGAAAAAAAAAGAATTACAGATTTAATGTGTGGTAATTGGTTGGAATATTTTAAGGTCTTTGTGAAAAGAATGTTGTTTTCCGAAGAGAAAATTTTTTGTCTAATTTATATTTGACAAAGAGTCTAGTCCTCATTTGTGGTCAAAGCTCTTTGTCTTGTGATTTTATTTTCTTGCTATTTAAGAGTTAAATTTTTCCCCTATGTAAAAATGGCCTTTATTGGGGGCACTTGGGTGGCTCAGTCAGTTAAGCATCCAACTCTTCATTTTAGCTCAGGTCAGTTATCTCAGGGTTGTAAGATTAAGTCCCACATAGAGCCCTGAGACAGGCTTGTTGCTGGGCATGAAACCTGCTTAAGATTCTCTTCTGAGCAGCCCAGGTGGCTCAGCGATTTAGTACCACCCTCAGCCCAGGGCCTGATCCTAGAGACCCAGGATCGAGTCCCATGTCAGGCCCCGTATGGAGCCTGCTTCTCCCTCTCCCTTTACCTCTGCCTCTCTCTCTGTGTCTCTCATGAATAAGTAAATAAAATCTTTAAAAAAATATATTTTCTTCCTTGCAGGGCACCTGGGTGGCTCAGTGTTTGAGCATCTGCCTTTGGCTCAAGTTGTGATCCTGGGGTCCTGGAATCAAGTCCTGCATCAGGCTCCTTGCAGGGAGCCTGCTTCTCCCTCTGCCTATGTCTCTACCTCTCTCTCTATGTCTCATGAATAAATAAATAAAATCTTTAAAAAAAAATTCTTGCTCGCTTTCTGCCCCTCCCCCAACTATCTCTCTTAAAAAACAAAACAAACAAAAAGCCTTCTTTTCCACTATGGTTAAGAAGTCCAGAGTCCATTATTAACCCAGACAAATCATTTACAATGAAGTTATATATTTATAATAAAGATGTTGACATATTACCTTCTGGCAGTGCTAGAAGCAAAGTTATATTAAGGATGACCATATATTCTTCCAAGATTACTTTCCTGGAAGGTAAAATATTGCTTAGCAATAGTTTATTCAAAAGATAATGGTGCACGTATGCCTGAGTGGCTCAGTGGTTGAGCGTCTGCCTTCGGCTCAGGGTGTCATCCTGGAGTCCCGGATGGAGTCTCACATTGGGCTTCCCCGCAGGAAGCCTGCTTCTCCCTCTGCTTGTGTCTCTGCCTCTATGTATCTCTCAGGAATGAATAAAAATCTTATATAGATAGATAGATAGATAGATGATAGATAGATAGATAGATAGATAGATAGATAGATAGATAGATAGATGATAGATAATGCCGTGGAAGCCCAGAGCAAGGGAGGGATTACTTCCAACACGAGAGGTAAGAGTGAAGGCTTTGTGGACAAAATGCAATTGAGCTGGACTTTGAATGGATGGATAGATCAGGACATGGTTATATTAGACAGGTTGGGAGGAGGCAGGGTGGGGGGTGGAGAAGCTGTATCCAGGACAAAGCATGAGCCATTCCCAGCCACCGTGGAGGGAGGTGACTTCAGAGAAAGGACAGTGGGTACAAGCATGTGGGTGGTAGCACAGGTGTCATGGGCAATAAGATAACCACCATCCCTCCTTCCATTGTCCTGGATGCCAGACCTCCTGCTAATGAAGATGACCTGGTTTGGATCGTGACGGTCCTTAGCTAACATTATGCTCTGGTCTTTGAATCATTAACATGTTGTTGTGTCTGTAGTAGAGTAGACATATCAGAAAGCTATTTCAACTCTTTAAAAAGTATACATTTCCAGGGGCACCTGGGTGACTCAATTGGTTAAGCGTCTCCCTTTGGTTCAGGTCCTGATCTCAGGGTCCTGGGATTGAGCCCCACATTGGGCTCTCTGCTCATCAGGGAGTCTGCTTCTCTGTGTGCTAGCTCTCTCTCTCTCTCTCTCTCACTCTCTCTCTCTCCCTCTCAAATAAATTTTTTAAAAAGTGTACCATTCTAGCATCATTGAGTACATTCACACTGCTGTGAAGCCATCACCACCATTCATCTCCAGACCTCTGTGAATGACTTTTGAGCGGGAGAATGAAGGAATCACATAGCGCATTAGCAAAATTACTCTAGAAGCAGCTTGCGGGACCGCCTGAGTTGTCCTCACCTATTTATGAAGAAGGTGAGAAAGGGGAGAGGGAACAGAGTAGGAGGATATTGGAAGGAACTTGGTGCAAGGACAGCGACCCCTGGAGGGCGGGCAAGGTGGCGGAGGAGCGCGAGTCCTCAACTCACAGGCTCCCACCAACTTGCCTAGATAACTGTCAAGGCCTCCTGAAGGCCTAGGAATTCGCCCTGAGATTTAAAGAGAGAACAGCCGGGACTCTACAGAGAGAAGAGCTTTGGCTTCCAGCAAGGTAGGACGGCGGAAGGAAGGAAAGGAAGGGAAGGAGGAAAGAGGAAAGAGGGAGAAGGAGAGGGAGAGGGAGAGCCTCCAGGCTCCAGGGGTCCCCAGGAGGGGGGCGCCCGGGGAGAGCTCCCTGCACCCCGCGGGCCGACCTCGGGGAGGGGCTAGAGCGCCGCAGCCCCGGGGCATCTGGGGGAGTGGGGCGGGGGGGCAGGCGGCGGCTGCGGACGGAGGTGGGGAGGGCCCAGGGCAGCGCGGCCTCTCCTGCCGCCGGGCGCCCCGAGCTGCGCGGAGCAGCGCCCCCGCCGCCCCGGGAGCACCTCGGCCAGGGCGGGGGCAGGGGAGCCTGCGGTGCTGCCCGCGGAGCTGACTCCAGGGCTGGAGAGCCGGCCGCCGCCATCCTGCTGGTTCCTCCTCGTTCCCGTAAGCCCGGGACAGGGGGGCCCGGGGGACAGAGGCCTCGCAGGGGGAGCAGCGCAGGCGGAGCCCGGCACCTGGCGGGGGGCAGGGCGTCTCCCCCAGGTGCACGCACCTGAGAGTCAGCGCGGCAGGCTCCGCCCCCAGAAGACCAGCTGGAAGGACAGGGAGGAGCAAGTTCTGGACCACGCGGCGCTGGGAAGCTCCAGGACCAAGGGAAAATCGAGGGACCATAGATGGTCCCTCCTCTTTTTTTTTTAGAATTTTTTCCTTTTTCCATTCAACTTGTTTTTATATCAGACTAAAAACTTCCAATATTTTTTCTCTTTTTCCACCTTAACTACCATACGTTACCAGGTCTTCATTTTTAAGTTTCTTCTCTTTTGACTTTCATATTTCTACAATTACATGTCTTAGATATATTTTTTCACTTCTGGATTCCCTTCAACATACTTAATTTGGAGAGATATATGAGATTTGGGTTTTTGGTTTGTGTTTTTTGTTTTCTCTGCCTCTTTTTGTTCTACAATGACGGAAGTTAATACCTTCTAAAACATGACCAGCATGCACCCAGAACCAAATGGAATACCTTGCTGGTTCATTCTGTGAGATTATATTCTCTCTTCATTCCCATTCCTCCCCCCTCTTTTATGTTTTATATGTTTTGGTGGTCAGTGTTGGAGCTTTCTACAAGTATTGCTGGTTTACATAAATTTGGGAATGAGAATCTTCTAACAGAATAAAATACACTCAGAACCAAGAGGATCTGAATTGGCTTTCTGACATCGAATTGAAATCTGTATTTTGGGGCAGCCCCGGTGGCGCAGCGGTTTAGCACTGCCTGCAGCCCATGGCGTGATCCTGGAGACCCTGGTTCGAGTACCACGTCAGGCTCTCTGCATGGAGACTGCTTCTCACTCTGCCTGTGTCTCTGCTTCTCTGTGTGTGTGTGTGTCTATGAATAAATAAATAAAATCTTTAAAAAAAAAGAAATCTGTATTTTGTAACTCTGTAGCAGAGAGTACTGTTTTTGATTCTTTTTTTTTGTGGTGAATTCTTCCTTCTAGTCATTTTGTTCAGTGCAGAGTGGCTGTATGAATGAGCTGAGTCAAGAATATCAACCACAACCTAAGTAAATTTCACCCTAGATGATTCTGACTAGGTCAGAGACCATAAAATGAAAAAGAAGATCAGAACAAAATAAAACAAAAGGACCACTAAAGTGAAAAACAAATTTTAAAACAAAATAGTGAAAAATAAAAGGCCAAAAATTCCAAAGAGAAAAAAAGAAAAAGTAGGGAAAAAAGTAAAGAGGAAAAAGAGAAAAAAGGAAAAGGAAAAAATGGGGGGACTGGGAGATGGTGGTGATGAAGAAGTGGTAGTGGAGGGAGAATGTAGTCTACCTGAGGTGTCCTAGAGGATGATCCTCTTGGTTCTGAGTGTATTTGCATATTTTCAGACCACAATGCTTTGAAACTAGAACTCAATCAGAAGAAGAAATCTGGAAGAAACCCAAACACATGAAGGTTAAAGATCATCCTACTAAAAGATGAATGGCTCAACCAGGAAATTAGAGAAGAATTAAAAAGATTCATGGAAACTAATGAAAATGAAGATATAACCATTCAAAATCTTTGAGATACAGCAAAAGCAGTCCTAAGAGGGAAATACATCGCAATTCAAGCATCCCTCAAAAAATTGGAAAAAACTCAGATACACAAGCTAACCTCACACCTAAAGGAACTGGAGAAAGAACAGCAAGTAAAACCTACACCAAGCAGAAGAAGAAGAGAGATAATTAAAGATTCGAGCAGAATTCTATGAAATAGAGACCAGAAGAACTGTAGAACAAATCAACGAAACCAGGAGTTGGTTCTTTGAAAGAATTAATAAGAAAGATAAACCATTAGCCAGCCTTATTACAAAGAAAAAAGACTCAATAAAATCATGAATGAAAGAGGAGAGATCACAACCAATACCAAGGAAATACAATGATTTTAAGCACGAATTATGAGCAGCTGTATGTCAACAAATTAGGCAATCTAGAAGAAACGGATGCATTTCTGGAAAACCACAAATTACCAAAACTGGAACAGAAAGAAATAGAAAACCTGAACAGGCCAATAACCAGCTAGGAAATTGAAGCAGTCATCAAAAACCTCCCAAGACATAAAAGTTCAAGGCCAGATGGCTTCTCAGGGGAATTCCATCAAATATTTAAAGAAGAAATACTACTACTACTAAATAATACTAGTCTACTAAAGCTGTTCCAAAGGATAGGAAGAGATGGAATACTTCCAAACTCATTTTTATGAGGCCAGCATTACCTTGATTCCAAAACCAGACAAAGACCCCGCCAAAAAGAATTATAGACCAATATCCCTGTTGAACACGGATGCAAAAATTCTCAACAAGATACTAGCCAATAGGATCCAACAGTACATTAAGAAAATTATTCACCATGACCAAGTGGGATTTATCCCCGGGATGCAAGGTTGGTTCAACACTTGTAAAACAATCAACGTAATAGATCACATCAGCAAGAGAAAAAACAAGAACCTTATGATCCTCTCAATAAATGCAGAGAAAGCATTTGACAAAATACAGCATCCATTCTTGATCAAAACTGTTCAGAGTGTAGGGAGAGAGGGAACATTCTTCAGTATCTTAAAAGCCATCTATGAAAAGCCCACAGCAAATATCATTCTCAATGTGGAAACGCTGAGAGCCTTTCCCCTAAGATCAGGAACACAGCAGGATGTCCACTCTCACCACTGCTATTCAACATAGTGCTAGAGGTCCTAGCCTCAGCAATCAGACAACAAAAATAAATAAAAGGCATTCAAATTGGCAAAGAAGTCAAACTCTCCCTCTTTACAGATGATATGATACTGAACATAGAAAACCCCAAAGACTCCACCCCAAGATTGGTAGAACTCATACAGCAATTCGGCAGTGTGGCAGGACACAAAATCAATGCCCAGA